CTCTCACCAAAATTGCACACCTATCTCATATGTTCGAGAGCATAATAATGCAGTACATGTTGTTCATACCTGCACACATCAACACGTGCATGTGCCCACAACTTCACCCACATCATCCTCCTTGAAAAACTGCAGTGAGCTTATGTGGGTGGGGTGCTAACGGCGTACGCTGGATATCTCACCTGAGCAATACGCTCAGTGTGGCATCTGTTGTCGGAGTTGATGACTCACTGCTTCCTGTTGGAAGGGGACTTTATGTTAAGACTGGCCAGTAGGTAAGCATGGATGTTGCTGTGAATCAAGTTGTCAGCCTCAATTCCTTGCACTGCGGAGGATTATTCGTGTTTTCACATACACTCATCGACTGTGTGGTCCTCTAAGGTTCCTACTTGGTTCCCAATTTTTCCTTCTGTCCTTACTTCCCTCCAAATCCCTCACTCCCTCCCTCCCCTTTGGAGCAGATGTACTGTTATTCCTCTACCCTCGCACCTGCTTCACCCACACGCACACTGTCTCTCACTGAGCTACATTTCGGTCCAGAGAAAGAACTACTGATGAAAAGGAATCACTCTTTTTTTAATCACACTCTGCTGTGGTCTCATCTCTTCATGCTTATTTTCATTCTATTTTGCATCCAGAATTTACACTGTGCTAATGTAGCAGATGTTTTATTTATGCATTTTAAGCGCAATTACAGACTAAACCAAGCAATTACAGACTGAATAAATCACATCGATTACTTTATCACCATGTTGTTTTTTACAGTAATTAGAGAGTTTGTGTACGACAGACACACATTCAAAATAATAGCAATATTTCCTCCTCTTATTGGAAATGTCCTTGGTTAAAAAGTCCTTTGAGAAAGAACTACGCTTTCACACTTGCTTTGGCAATGTAAATGTCTGTCTCCCATGCGAATAAAGCCGATTGAATTTAATTTAACTGAATGTCACACTAGTTTTTATTAAATAATATAAATAAAATCAATTCAGTTTTGCTTATCAACTGTTCCACCCACCCCTTTACTTCCTTGCTGGATCCTCAGGCACAAATACACACACCACTAAAGGTCACTGTGACTGGCATCAAACCCTAAAATTGTAACTTGCTATCATTTGTTCAACTGCACAAGCAATATTCTGCCAAGGTTGGCAGAAGTCTTTTCTTTTAACCCCCGCAGCATTTGGCCACATTAAGTCCTATGGCCCCAGCAAAGAATATCTGCTTACACATGAGTTTAAAAAGAGACGAGCCTTTCTCACAAAGAGTCTGAATACATTTCAAGCATCATCTTTGTTTTTTACTGTCCTGAAGGCATCAGTTAAACCAAAGGCTTTTTAAGACTTATTGTTGTCCTCATAAAACCTTGTTCAAATCTTTTATGAATGCCACCTGAATCAAGTTACCCTTTTATGTCTTTTTTGTGTATACAATGTAAATTAATGTTGCAAATCAACCTCAATATAGGCAGAGTTTTAAAAAAGTCTTCCTGCAGCTTATATAAAAGTTGCAATTGTGGCGCCATCCACTGTTCATTGACAATGTGCACATCTGCTCTTTAATATTTTGTCTTTACAGAGATAGTGAGAGCAATGACACATGTGATCAACCAGGGGATGTCCATGTATTGGGGGACATCCCGGTGGTCCGCCATGGAGATCATGGTGAGTGATGGAAAAAGTCTTTGTGCATCTCGTAACAAGCAACATGAGATGAAGACCAACTTTGCTAAAAAAAAATTCATACGACAAGCAGTCAAGAAAGTGGGCTCTATTTATGGCTTAGCAATATATTGATATTCATGATTTTTTTTGTCTTTCCCTGTAATCATATTGTAGGAGCTTTTTTATACCATAACATGCATTTAGAAAGAAATGTGCTGTCTAAGCAATTAGACATCTTCCAGAAGGATCCCAGAAAATGGGGAAAATGCAGTTAAATGTTCCAGTTTAGCTTCATATTACGTGTGTGTAATGTGCTGAACATCGGCTAGACAGATATTCTCAGTATTCTTTTTTTCTGTAACAAATGTTGAAACCTTCACGCCATATAGAGCAGTGGATAAATAAAAAAGAAAACATTTAAACATAAAAGTCAGTGTTTGCACGAGTTTCCTCATCTCATGAACATTCCTCTCCTTTCTTTTTATTCCCTCTTCACATTCAATTAGGAAGCATACTCTGTGGCCAGGCAGTTTAACCTAATTCCACCAGTGTGTGAGCAGGCAGAGTATCACTTCTTCCAGAGGGACAAAGTGGAAACTCAGCTGCCAGAGCTCTACCATAAGATAGGTAAGTCTGTAGTAAGGTTCTCCTGAAGTCAAGCCTTTTTGAATAAATTTAGGACTGTGTGAGATTTTGTATAATGTTGCTCAGTGGCCGTTGATCTATCTCAGGTGTGGGTGTGGTCTCTTGGTCCCCTCTGGCCTGTGGAATCATCACTGGGAAGTACGAGAACGGCGTCCCAGAAACCTCCAGGGCCTCAATGAAGGTACAAGTGAAATCTCTTTTGACCACCTGCCTAGCGTCTACATGTCCCAATCCTTTCACTCAATAAAACATAATCTGGTTCAAGTTATTTCTTCCTGCATTCATGTAATAATTTTAATGTTTATTCTTTTTCTGCTCCTCCAGCCATACCAATGGTTGAGGGAGAAAATAATGAGTGAGGATGGGAAGAAACAGCAAGCCAAGCTAAAGGAACTGGCTCATATCGCGGAGAAGCTCGGATGTACTTTGCCCCAGCTAGCCATAGGTTAGTGACAACATGAATCCCCAACTTTACATTTCTGTGAAAGCGAACAACCAAATTCAGTGTTTCTTTACATACTGCCTCATGCTTCGACATCACATTATCAACTGTATTTGAATATTCTCAGTCATCCAGGTCATAGTTATCCAATGAAGGTTAAAGTCAAGGGCAACTGGACTTGGTTGAAGATACTAGAAGATGTTTCGTCCCTCATCCAAAGGACTTCTTCAGTACTTCTTTAGTTCTCTCTCAGAACTGAAGAAGTCCTTTGGATGGGGGACGAAACGTCTTCTACCTTTGTTGAATATCAACTGTAAAAACTCTTTCTATCACTGATCTTTAGCCTGGTGCCTGAGGAACGAGGGAGTGAGCTCAGTGTTGCTTGGATCCTCCAATCCAAGCCAGCTAACAGAGAACTTGGGAGCCATACAGGTATTAAGACAATTTCTTATGAAGAGTTTTACTGAATAATTATTTTAGTATTTAGTCATTTAGCGTTGATTGTGTGCTCTGTCTTTGTTTTGTGCACCACAGGTAATTCCAAAGATGACAGCAGGCATTGCCACAGAATTGGATCATATACTGGGAAATCGTCCTCAAAGTAAAAAGGACTACCACCATTAGGATGGACCCTGTTTTAGTGAACCATGCTCAGATAGCTTATCAAAGCTCCCTTCTCACAGCCATGGCACCATAAGTTCGTGCCCAACTTTGCTTGTGTGCGCGTATGACTGTATGTGTGACTATGTAAAGTGCTCTGCTTGGCTCCTCGTCTGTCCGAAGATCAACTGGTACTCATTATGGTAAAGTGAGCTACTTGATAAAACATGCATGCTACAGCTATAGCAGCTGGCAAGTGGACTGAACAACTGTTAGAAGAACCAGCAAGAGGATTTCTGGAATTAAATTTGCTTCCGCTCTAGCAACCTTGTGTACAAGCTGCTGCACCCCAAATTTAAAGAAGCAAAAGATTAGATGGAGAAATTAAAACATAAGTTGACTGACACTAGGCTGGGCCAGTTACAGAACTAATATGATTTTCTGAATTAGGGTGTCAATGTATCAATAAAAGAAAACTTAAGAGGTATTATCCACAAAGTATAAGGTCATAGCAGTGCAGCAACTACATGAATATGAAATACATGTACACAGTGTTCCAGAAATCTACCTAGATGTTCGTGATGTGAAAAAAATTAATGATGACTTTTGTAATTGGGCCTGGTCTCAGCAGACTGGATCATAATGCTAACACTTCCACTGCAGCTGGAGCTGACCTGGCAACATGATGAATTGTTTCAGTACTGGATGAACTGAAATTCTGCTAAAAATGTTGTCGCAAGAGAGCTAAGTTAAACTAAAATATGTTTCAAAACATTTGTACTGACTGTTATATATTTTCCTTACTAAGCAGCTATGTCAGAATTATATTTTCATCTTCCCCTTTTTTTTTCTTTTTCACTTATGCAAAAGTACAGCATTGTGTGCTTTCCTATTATGCTCCTTCAACATCTTTACATTTGGACTATGCCAGACTTTCTGTCAGTAATGATAATGTCTGACTCATTTAATTTCAGTCTGTGTTGTGGATAAAACAAAGACATGTAGCTAATGAAGGGAGTCATTAAACCATATGGACCCCTGCAGTCATTGCACCTGGAACACGCTTAACCAACCCCCCCCCCCAGATGCCAGTTTTACATAATCAGATGTTATGTCCTGTCTGTTCAAACATGCATTTTGGTGTTGTTCATCAGATTTGTACGTAAAAATAAATGACTCTATAATTCTCATGTGATATGTTTTAAAGATCTAAATTAATTTTCTATTAATGTTATGGGTGCCTTCTAATATTTTGCCCCATACAAATTGAAATAGCAAAGCTTAGAGCAGACTTATCGTTTGATGAGTTAACATTGTAAACTGCAGTAAAAATCTGTGACTTATGCTTGAAACATTATTACTGCTGTTTGCTGTTGGGGTTCTTCTGTGTCTTCCTGTTTTATAATAAATTATTTATTTGACTTGCGAAAAGCAATACGCATTTGAGACATTTTCCTCTTTTTATATATATTTTTCTATTTTATAGGGTTGTTTTTGTTACGTGGTTTCCGTGGAAACAAAAGGTTTCCGGCGAATTAGCCAATGCGTTGTTGTCGTTCAGAGGCGTGATATTTGATTGGTTTACAGGAACGTCCTCAAATCTAATTGGCTGCCTGGCGTTGGACACCCGCGGATTATAAAAACTACTGCTGCTTGAAGTGAAATAGTATCTATACAAACGTATTTTTCCTTAACTGACCTGCTGGAATCGTGTCACAGTTGTGCTAACGTTACGATAACGTCAACTCAGAATAAAATAGCTCAAAACTGCTGTATTGGAACCAAATGTGTCACTCAGCAGCGGTTTGTTTGTAGTGGCAGTAACGTTAGCAGATGGCTAGTTAGCCAGATAGCTCAGGGGAGGCAACGTTACCTTGTCAACTAGCTATCGTCAACTGTAACTGCGGTGCACATTAACAGCTAGGAAACACCAGCCGCACAGTTCCTTTCTACGATTGGGGTAAGTGTTGGGATGTGTCGGGTTTAATCTTCATATCAGACGCTAGTAGTAACTTAAATACCGAAGCAACGTATTCGTTAGCTGAAACAGCTTAACGTTGATCAGCCGACACGTCTGTTGTTTCGATGCTGCAAGTCATTCATTCTCCCTATATGGATCAATCATTGTCAGACCCAGCTGGATAACCAACAGCAATGTCGCTGTCGACTGAGGCTCATTTTGGGCTGAGCCAAAGCAGCAGAGGTAACGTTAACGTTAAAGGAGACACTATTTGTGTGGTGTCCGACCTCTCCTCTGAACTCCTGGCAGATGACTTCGACCTGAATAAGTCCTACCCTTGTACTCAGTACCCACGGTACAAGAAGAGCCTTATGACATTGCAACATCGTTATTATTCTGGTTCCTTTACAGGTGAGTGTTACTGATTTGGTCGTAAATGTGAGTACAGCTGAAATTATTAATCAACCGCAACAGTTCTGATAATTGAGTATCTTTAAACAATGCAAGCAAAAATTACCAAAATTCAGATTTTCATTGTTTTTCTTTGATGAAAGGAAATTGACTATATTTGTGGGAGAATGATGATTTCTGTAAGTGATTTTTAAAAAAAAGTGTCCCAAATTTTTGCTTACAGGTGAACATTTGGATTTTTGCACTTCTGTCGCAGAGAGAAACTGCCAAATCTCTAGCTTACATCCTGGCTCCCAAGTGTTTGCTGTCTGCCTGCCACACCAGTCCACTGTGTCGGAGACAGGGGAAAGCTTGTTCAGTCAGCTAATCTCTGGAGATTTTGGCCTGTCAGGATCTCCATCTGCCCTCAATCCAAACAAAGCCATTCTTACTGTGGACCATAAAACCAGAGAGGTACTATGTGTGTGCTTAATGTAAGCAGATTAAGTAAAACAGTACTGCAACTAAAACATACCCTGTAAATGTGTTTTATCTTCATCTTTCAGATTTTGTCAGCAAATGAGCAGGCCTGCAAACTGTTTGAGTGCACCACCGATGAGCTGACTGGAAAAAAACTGTCCTGCATAGTGAAGAAAACAAGTCAGGTTTTGGAAGAAGCACTGGAAGAAGATTTTCTGCTTGTGGATGGAACTGTCGCGGGGGTGTCTGGAAAAGTGGTATGAAATTGGCTGACAAAAAAAACTTGAAAATGAAAGTAACTATGCATTGAATTCATGGATTTTCCTCAAATTTGTCTGTGTTAACATGCTACTTTTTCTCTAGGTGGATGTTGTGACATTATCGGGAGAGGTGCCAGTGTCGGTGTGTACCCACAGAAAGTCACAAAATGAAGAGCACTTCCTTGTCATGATGGAAAATGTCGAAAGGGTATCAGCCACTCTGTCCTTTTCACAAGACGTAAGTAAATCAGTATTTAGTAGCCTTTCTTTTGTTTATTTTTTCCCCCAACAACTTTAATTCCAGCTTTTCCTGTCTTTTCAAACGTGTCTTAATAACTTGATGGCATTACCATCTTCAATTAAAAACTAATGGGTAAAATATTAGAATTTTCTAACAATTATTTTTTACACCATTTCTAGGGCAGCATCCTAACCTGTGATTTGACATTTGCCCATCTCCATGGATACCACCATCCTGACGAATTAAAAGGAGTGTCTGTCAAGGATCTAATCCCCTCTTTACAAATCCCCCTCCACAGTAATGCATTGCCCAAAGTAAGCACACTTTACAACTAAAACTGTCACCCTCAGCTAAGGAAAGAATCTTTTCTTAAGCTTTGCTTTCAAGTTTATGTTTACCAATGTGCTGCTTAGACAGTTCAGAAACACACAGACAAGAAATTATATCCCACAACGTTTTAAGCTCAGGTATTTTTGTAAATCTGTCATCTTTGACTTTGCTTTTCCTTCCTTCTTTTAGATGCTGAGAGTTCAGAGAGTGTGTGGGAAAAGCAGAGGAGGTGCATCTGTCCCGCTGTGCATCAAACTTCAGGGGGCAGTGGTATGTGGGAGGCCCCAACACCAAAACAATGGGACTGGTTGCACCTGTCCAACCGAGAGTCTTGAAAGATCAGATGCACAGGACAAGCAGCCATACTCTCCTCTCACCTCCTCGGTGTGCAAGTCAGTTGGCGAACACGGTGAGCAACTTCATATAAAAGAGCCACGCTCTGGTAAGGTGTTTAAAATATATTTTTTTTTAAAGATAAGGCTGGGACATAATGCTAAGTCAGACACAGTGTTTTTCTAGAGAAACTGGTGCTTAATCCACTGACTATGTTATGCCACCCAAGCACTACAACTTCCTGCGGTATAAACTCCTTAGCCTTTAATAATAAGAAAAATATGCAGAAGCTAGACAAGATCATATAAACCCATGATGGAAAAGTAAAGTAAAAATTTGAAGAAACTGCCAAGCACTGATTGAAAAGTGTTTTTTTAGCGTTAATGTCCTTGTTCATGTCTACCCTCTGTACTGCTTATCAGTTGAATAGAATTGATTTGCTTGAATACTAACAAAAGGGTGACACCATATACAGTACTATATGTACCATAAACATTTCTATTCATCATATACCGTAATCTAGTAGACTTGCTGTAACTAATTGTGTATCTTCAACGTTCTTCCAACTTTTTACAGAAGTCAAAGTGGACAGCATTGTCCTCTCTCCCAGCCCTGCACTGGAGTACTCTGGAACAGTTTGGGTGTTTGCTCCTGTGAGCGGCCTCCTCCTGCTCCACTCCGATGGCTCAATCTACAGCATCCACAGCCACCTGGCTCTCAGTCTGTTTGGCTACAACAAGGACGAGCTGCTGAGAAAGGTTAGCCAATGTGACCAGCTGAACAAGGCCATTTGCATTGATGACCATGCCAACTCTCACTTCTGTCACTGCTGCTTTGTCATCAACAGAGTGTTACTTTTCTGATGCCCGGTTTCTATGGATGGATGTGTGATGCAGGTAGGAAGGCCAGCTCCTTCTCTGATTCTCAAGCACAGGCTTCGGGTAGATCAGGTGAGCAGTTGTATGTATTTGCGATGTGTACAAGATGGCAGCCTTTTCACAACAGAACAATCAGAGGTTTTCAAAATGTGAGGCGTGCCTCCATAATTATTCCCCAAATAAAAGCAAGGCAAGGAATGATAACAGGAGTGACAAAATCAATATTAACTTCAAATTACATGGACTGGGGTTAGTTTCAGATTTTGAAAACCCCTGTCTAAATTGTTGTCTGTTGTGGTACAAAACACACAGTTTATATATAAATAAGTGATGTTTTATATCTGTCCGACAAGGTTGTTTATGTACCTGAAAATGGTCTCATGCCAATGCTGCTACTCTGTTATTTTACTCTAAGTTTACTCATGTTGTAGGTTTTTATTTTGTGATAGAGTGCTATTTGTTTACGCAGGGTGTGATTATTATTATTTTATTTTCTTTTTTATTTGTTTATTTAACTTTCCTTCTTTCTTTTAATCCTAGACCCTTCTTCGCTGGTGGCTGGTGATATGGGCATGGTGCAACACGCTGTCCTGGGTAGAACCTCCACAGGGAGAGGCCGGATCTTCACTGGAACCAGCACCCGGCTGGAGAAACAGGGCAGCGCTTTGTCCACCCTTTCTCCTCCTGCTGTCACCTCTACACGTGTGCTTATGTAAGTCCTAAGCCACCAGAATGTTTTGTCCCCAATAACTGGGAAAATAAACATCTTGGGCATGACCTGCACCGGAACTCATGCCAGCAGAATAAATAGTAGATCTGTGCTTTATATTTTCACAAATAATGGACAAACATAAGTTGCTGTAGCAAGATCCAGGCACCTAAAAGCAGCAGACTGCATGTATATTTAATGTGCATGGCAGAAAACAACAACTCTGTGGTCAAACCTGATACCTTCTAAACAGCCTGTCACTAAAGCATTGTTTAAGTCACAGCTTACCGCTGTTTCTCTTTGCCTTTTTTTGTTGTGCCAAGTTTTTCTAAACTTTCATTCTGTATCAGAATTGTTTAGATATTGCAACCTGTGATCACAATGATTTCAATCATTTTGTGATTGCTGAAAGATGAATGTTTCAGATTTGGATTTGGACAGTATATTGATGCCACTCTCTTTTGCCATCTGTTGGACAAATAATGTCACAGCATGATTGGTCAGGTCTGGTGAAGGAGATGAGTGAGAGGCAGCTCCCACCTAAAAATATCTTAAAGTAATGAACCAGACCTGCAGAGAAACATTAATGTGGTATTGCTGTAGTGTCATATATGTTTTTGTATCAGTCATTTAGTACACTACCAAGAAAAAAGAAAATGATATTCCTATGATGTAAAATAATGACCCCTATAATAAACCATGACACCTAAAATGTGCATTTGTTTGTGATTCAGGGATTTGTACAGTGTGCTAACACAACACATAACAAGATGAGCTTTTTTTTAAGTGATACCTCCAACCCACACCATCCTGCTAATGAAGCACATCTAAATGCTAGAGCAAAAGTCTCATGCATATATATTTCCATCATTATTTTCACAATAACTACTTTACATTCGTATTTGATTTTGAGTGGCATTATAATACTTTAGATAAAAAAATCCAGCCACTCTTTCCTCAGGGCCGATGACACTACAGAGCTGATGGAGGAGGCAGCCCAAGTTGCTCTCTGCAGTAGCCAGACAGACAGTACAGACAGCACTCAAGCACTCCTCAAGACATTTGCCTGGGTGGAACCTCCAGAAGAAGACACCTTCTGCCCAGATCCTGCTGAACCACCACACCATAACCGGGAACAGCAACTGGGAAGTAAGATTCTTAAAAACAAACAACCTGCCATAAACATTATCTCAGGTGGCTAAACAAATATTTGTGTTTTGTTTGTTTTATTTCCCCTCTTTAGACACTCCCTCTCAGAATGGACATGCTGTTGGCACAGTGGGTGGCATGGTCCCTGATGTAGGGAAAGACAACTGCTCATGTGCCTCTGTTCTCCAAGACTCCAGCTTTGAGGTGATCTCACTGGAGAGCAGGTGAGGGCAATTCTTAGTCTTACGAGACATTTCATTCACCACATTTTTAGCACCAAAATGTACAACTGGCTTTAACCTGTTTTGCATGTAATCACCTCTCTGATATCCAGTTGTTAAGACAGCCCATCTAATACACACTGTACTACCGAGGCTACCAACTGCTCTGCATTCTACATTACTGAAAAAATGAGACATGTTCACCATCTATGTTATTCCTTCAGTGCATTCAAATTATTCAGGCTGACTGCTTGTGGGTTGAAGTTTCACTAAAATGTAGATACCTTAATTTAGAATGAATTATCAGTAATGTAGATGTGATGCAGCCTTAAATGACAGTTTTCAAAGATTTTCATATTTCCCCACCTCCTTTTGATAAAATAATACTAAATGTATTCTGAAAAGTTTTGCCAAACAAGATCCATTGTTTGTTTATTCTCGGTCTCAATAAACTGATGACAATTTCCCAGGTCTTCCTCTGGCTTTTGTGAAAAGTTTGCCGGCCATGGTGGTTCTGATCCAGGCCAGCCAGAGGACTCTCGTTCAGCACACATTGTGGACTCAGCCAGCTGCTTCCTAGATCTTAACAGCAATGGTGACCTGGTGACCCGGGCCCTTGCTGACCTAGATCTGAGCGGTAGCATAGAGCTGCTTAGCGGCAGAGGGTACGGTGACGATAACCGACGCTCCATGACGTCCTGTGATACAGCTGAGCTCCTGCGTACGCCCTCACCATGCGTGATAGGGTCTGACCAGGAGGCGGAGCCTGTTGAGACTGGGAACGCTGGCGTAGACACCAGAAACGGCTCAAGTGAGGAGAAAGAAGAAAAGGATCAGGGCGAGCAGGATCAGTGGGCAGCGCTCTCCTCAATTCATAAAGACAAGAGCCAAGGGTTCTGCATGCAAACGAACGGTGAGATTCAGTCAATGAGAGAGATTCCTGCCACATCTACTCCTAAGAAACAGAAGGTGAATGGACGCCCGCTCTCCTCGGACAGTACACAGATAGTGGAGGGGCAATTCAATGGAAGCGCATACCACAGAGATGGCACAAGAGTAGGTTGGTACAACTGTTGATCTGTTTTCCTGGAAAAAATCAGTGTTACTGCGTTCATAAAGCAAATGGACTTTAACCAGAGCCTTATTTTCTCTCCAGATGTGCAGTGTGATGTGTGCAGAACTAACCTCCCTGATGGGAGCACTGTATTCTGTGTGTGGATGAGTAGGCCCGGCCAGCATGGGACACAAACCGATCGATCACTGCACAATCAATCAGGAGCTAGTCCAGGAGAGGTCGTGGCATGAAAGATGTTTAATAATACACTAGTGTGGTACATAATTTGAATTTTGAATTTACTGAAGGATAGCCCCTTGAGATGCAGCATCTCATTTTAAAGGGGGTCCTATAACACATACATAATGAACAAATACATACATATATTACACATATACAGATAACTCGCACACCACTCTCACCCACACCCAACAACCAACACCCTCAGTTAGTACAAGGAACAATAGCAAAATAAAACAATCCTATAACTAACAATACCAAACATTCAACCCAAAGCAGATCAAATTATTATTTACTCTGTATGTAAGCAAAATGTACAACAAACATAGTTACCTGTATGGAGGACAGTTAAAGTAAACACATTTGAAAATAAACTTTATCCAGTGAAATTCCCTTCTTGCTTTAGGCTGTAACCAGTTAAGTGCCTCATACAAAGAGCAGTGATGAGTGGTAAATGGACACCTCATCACAAATCTACAAAGACAATTAAAAACAACATTAAGAGGCCTAAGATTGGTGTCGGTGGTGTTCATATAGATTGTATCAGCATAATCAATAATTGGCAGCATAAACTGAGTAATAATTATTTTCCTGACATGAAATGTAAAAAAATGTATTGAACATTAAAGAGAACTTAAACAGCCATAGATTTTTTTTTTTATAATGAAGTCTATATGCAATTTGAAATTGAGTTCAAGGTCTAGCCAAAAGCCAAGATATTTAAAAGAATCCACTTCATCCATGAGAGACCCATCCTCAAAGTTGATATGCAAATGTGAATTACTAAGACGATTACGCCTTGTTCCGAACAACATATTACAGGACTTCTTTTTATTTATTACTAATTTATTCATGTGAAGCAAGTTTTGTATCAAATTGAAATCCACTTGTAAGGAATTCTGTATTTTTAATATATTTGAGTCTGAGGTGTAAATAACTGTATCATCAGCATACAGACGCACTGAGCAATCTTTACAGATTTTTGATAAATCATTGATGAAAATAGAAAAAAAAGGAGGTGTCCCAAAGTGGATCCTTCGGGGACTCCCTTATCAAGCAGTAAATAATCAGACTGGGAATCGTGGAAAACGATACACTGTTGCCTCCCGTGAAGATAAGCATTATATTATCTCTATAAAAATTGTTCTGCTTTCAACTCATCATTCTTTCCTCCTTTTAGAGGATTGACGAGGCCAGTCACGGTGAGGCACTACGCTCCACCATGGACCTGGAGCAGTCTCGAGCCTGTGACGGGCAGTTTGAAGAAGAGTACCAGCCTGTTAAAGCTGTCGGTAAAGGAGCCTTTGGTTTTGTCTGGAAGGCAGTAAGGCGAAGTGATGGCCAAGAAGTAAGAAAACATTTTTATTAATGTGGAAACACGTCCCACCCAACCATGTATTTGACATCAATTATAATCAAATGAAAACAAAGATTATTGTCATGATGATGGCCTCTTTTACTTTTCTTGTGCAGGTGGTAGTGAAATTCATTAGCAAGGCCAGGATAGTGAGTGATTGCTGGGTCGATGACCCCATGCTGGGACGAGTCAGCCAGGAGATTTCCATACTGACACGAGTTCAGCACCACAACATAGTGAAGGTAACTGGGTTGTCACATCAATTTTTAAGAATTTTTAAGACACAAGCTTGTAAACACCTTCACTTATTATGCTAAGTTATTCTGCTCACCCTGTACTATACCTGCATGTGCCACTAGGTGCTGGAGGTGTTTGAGAATGGGAGTTACTTCCAGATGGTAATGGAGAAACATGGCAATGGCTTGGACCTTTTTGAATTCATCGACATGCAGCCAAGGCTGGATGAGGCCCTGGCCAGCTACATCTTCAGACAGGTATGTGCATGGCCAAGAGAATACACAGGACAGGAGAACGGGCTCTGAAATGTGAAGGACTCATTTGTTCCTTGTTAAACTGAAGGTTCTGTCTCTTCCCAGCTGGTTGCCGCTGTCTTCTATCTGAGGACTAAGAACATCCTTCACAGGGACATAAAAGATGAGAACATCATCATTGACAAGTGTTTCCACATTCGACTGATAGACTTCGGCTCTGCTGCCATGATGGCTCCCGGGAAGCTCTTTTACAATTTCTGTGGCACACTGGAGTACTGCTCCCCGGAGGTTCTTCAGGGAAATCCGTACGTACATAATACCAAAGAGTGACCAGTGGCATTTTTTTTCCTTTTCATTGAGCAACATATAGAAAATTTTATAATGAATCTTTTTATAGATTGTTTAGGTCCTTGTGTTCAATCTGTTCACTCAAAGCATTAAACATGACAGCAGAATTTAGATCAGAACACTATTTTCCAGTCCTGTATGAATTTTATGACCCATTTATCTTGAGAATGGACAATAAATCTATATGTGGCTTCAAGGATATAATGATCTCAAAGTTAGAAAAGCCATACACAGATACTGAATTAGCTGCTAATCGAATGCTGCCATGATTCCCTTATTGCCAAGTATGAGCTTGTTTTAATTATTGTCTGTCTCCTCATTGGGGTTCTATTGTAGCTATGAGGGTCCAGAGCTGGAGATGTGGTCTATTGGTGTGTTGCTCTACACGCTGCTGTTCAGTGAGAACCCTTTCTGCGGTGTGGAGGAGATCCTAAACGCCAAACTAAAACCCCCGTTCCACATCTCTCCAGGTACTCTGCTTAGCAGTTGGCTGCAAATAGTTTTCATTGACTGTCACATAGAAAACCTTCCAATACATTTTTACAAGTCTGTGCTGAAATTTCTCTTATGTACCCTCTCAGACCTGCATGGTGTGTTATGCGGGCTGCTGCACAGTGATCCTGTTCAGAGAATGACTCTGGACCAGCTGCTGCTGCAGTCCTGGATCAGCCAGCCCATTTCCCTGGCAGAGTACAGCTGGACAGAGGTGGTCCCTGCAACTCAGTGCTACTGTGAGTACTTGTCAACACAAGCGTTAGACTGACAATGGCCAACCCTGTTTTCCACTTCAGATATAATGAGGTTAACCTGTAATTAAATACCACTTTCGCTGTACATCTTGGATTTAAAAGAAAATCTGGAAATGCATTTTTTTACATCCAAATTAAGATGGTCACTGTGTCCCTACCTTTTCCACCTTGTGTTAATAAGCTGCTAACCCACCTGAAGTAATTGAGTATAGCCTTCCTTTTGACAACTACTGTTTTTGAACTGGCCTTCAAAAACCTATACGGTCCGTTAAAGTAGTAGGAAATGGCACCCGGCCAGACTTGTTTTGTTCCATTTTACTTCGGAGGTTTTAAAATACACATAACTCATTAGAGGGTATTTTGTAATGCCACCCTTTGTTTCCTTGTGTAGAAGTTATACATAATGCATTATCTGCACAATCTGTAATCTCAGCTGTGCAAATTAAAGATTATAAAGTAACTGAGTAGGACTCTGGTACTCAGGACCCTCTCTTCCTTTTAACAGCCTCACCACCGCACCAGGAGTCCAGTCCCAAAGTGTACTTCAGGCAAAGCTTGTTCCCGGATCAGTGTGATGACACCCTTCCCGATGATGAGGAGGAGGACGATGAGGATGACAGGTTGTCAATGGTGGCCCTGGAAACAGAGCTTCAGAAGTACCTCCACGAGGATTAAAGACTAATTTAAAAGGGGTGGATCCGTCCAACGTTTAGCCTGCAGCAATGAGAAGAGGACATGAAGTGCAAAATAAGAAAAGCGAAGCTTGTCTGAGTCCAAGGCCTTAATCAAACTTCACTCTGTCCAGACAAAGGACCTTTGCCTTATATGGAGTAAACACAGCTTGCTACCAAGTGCAATGAATATCTTTGTCAAGCTGGTGTTGGTCAAAATGTGCTTGTTTTGTGATATTTGTGACTGCATCACAGGGAAACAAATGCATCACAATGCACCAGCAGTTTTTCCCTTTTATTTAATCTATTGTATTTATACTCTGGCTTTAGGGGGAAATTCAAGCATTAAAATCAACAGTTCACAGGGATCCAAAATCCATGACTTGTGTTTACCTCAGAAACCACACAGAGAACTTTTGATTGAAGTTGAAGGAAATAGTTTTATTGTTCCAGCTTTTGTTCAGTACATGTCTGTTTTATGCTCATGATTTTAATCTTCAGTGTTTTAATTAAAAATTGTAAGTATATTTACAATATTGTATCTATTTATTTTTATACATTGATATAATTTTACCAAAAACACGTGCAAATGTTGTACATTTGATTTTTTTTTGCAGTAACTTAACACAACAATTCATATGGCAATATAATAAAATGTTTTCACATTACTTTTTCTAGCTTGAAAGTGGATTTAATTTTTCAGAAATCTGGATAAAGCCTAGCAAATATCAACTGCAGTAAAAATACTCCAAAATATCACATGAATTGCAGGTATATTCACATATATGAGGAGATTATATGTGTATTCTGTTAGATGAAACACTCAAATACTACACCTTATTAATAAACTATGTGACTGACTGTTCAGCCTAGTCACAAGTCCCAAAATAGACCAATCAGATTGTATGGGACCAACACAGCTGTCGAGCCTACCGACAGTACTCTTGGGAAACTGATGTTTGAGAACGCGAGACGACATCAAATGCCTCGTATCCTCTTTGATAAAACAAACGTTTTTATAAATCAGAAATCATTCAAATATCTGATTTTCACTTTTGCTGCGAACTTCAAATCACGTAAGAAAATAGCGGAACCTTTGTCCTGTACACCCTGTGTTGAAGCTGAAAGTCGGAAGTATATGAACGACGGACGAAAATGGCTAGCCCAGTTGCAGCGCGGCAGGTAAATCACATTGCTACAAAACATGACAAGTTATATATTTTTTCAGCTTAGAATTAAATGAACGCGTTATAGAAAGTTTAATCTAATGAGCCATATACTTCTGAAATGTTGAAACGACTGACAGCCCACAAACGTGCGCTATAACCTTTATGTTTGCTAACTTAGACTAATGATAGCACTGTAGGTTTATTATCTTATGCTAACCTTTCTTACATATTTGCTTTACCGCTATAATAGTGATATTTGCCCTGCAGCAACAGGAGTTAAAACAGGGACATATCTGCTGTCAGTGTTTTATAGCCTTGGTTTGTTTTTCTCAGATTCTTAGGTGGACTATGAGAAATGCCACCTTCTCTGTTTTCAGTCCACTTCAGTTGGGGATATGCCACCTCCAACCTTTATGCATCAGATTGTTCTGTTCCTCCACCAGCCAGGAGACTCGGCAGTCAACACGACACGACCATGAACTCAGCCCTCTATGCAGGAAGCCAGCCACAGAGCTATCCATACCCTCTTTGGTAGATATGGGATTCACAGACACCCAGGCAGAGCAGATCTTTGATGCCATGTCCAAATTCAGAGGAGGAAGCGCTGCCAAACATGCTCTGTCAACTCTCACTGCTCTTTTTGTCTTGGGGCTCAATCCTTCCAGTGTGCTGAAACTGCTGGAGAAATGTCCTGAACTGTACACTGTCAAGGAATCGCAGCTTCAGCAGCGCATAGGAAACCTGCGGAAACTAGGTTTAGTTGAAGGTGAGGCCATGAAAGCTGATTCTGATCTTTATGCACCACAATTGATCATAATTTTGTTGAAGCATTGTTTCAGAGGGAAATACTTCAAGCTCAGAGTACACAGTATGAATGATTATAAAACAAGTGTTTTTCCTTATATCCCCCTTTAGGCAGTCTTCAGAGAGTGGTGGCCCATTACCCTCAGATCCTGACTGTGCCTGTGAAGACTGTAAAAAATGCTGCGCTGTTCCTCAGAGAGAAGTGCCTGTTTACTGCCCGGCAGGTCACAGACATCCTCAGAGATAGTCCGGCCATAGTACTGGAAAACACGGGTCAGCTGGAGTACAAGTTTCAGGTCAGCATGTAAACCAAAGAAAGGAATGGGAGACTAAAGAGAGTTTTACAGACTTACAAATGACACATAAAGAAAAAGTTTTGTAACCCATGCATGTATTCCTTTGGGGCAACTGTGCCTGTCAAAATAACGTCCCCAAAAAGTGCTTATTTTTGCCACTGACAGGCTCAGACTGTTATACGAGGTGTCTGATAACATCATGGAAAGCACCCTACGAGTGTTTCCTTTTGGTTTTTACACGAAACAGAAGTCTTGCTCAAGTACAATTCTCGCTTTGAAATCTTGAGAGGCCATGTCCCCCCCATGTATGAGGCAAGTACAGTCCATAACTAAATGAGCCTTTAAGGTAAAGGTGGTACTGAAAAGTTAAGGGAGGTGCAGCAAAGTCCTCAATATTACAGACTTTTCTTTTGTGCTGCTGTTACTTATAGCCTACTTGAAGACCGTACTGAGGATGCCTGCAGCAGGGTTGGGTAGTAACTTTTTACAAGTAGCCTAACGCAAATTTGCAATATAAATAAATAAAATAAATCATTGGCACATTTTCACATTCCTTTTTAAAACTTTAGCCTACTTATACTGTTTACTCAGTATTTTCTCTGGGCCAGTTATCTACTTTTAATTTCGCTACAGTTTTCATTCATACCTTTATCACTTAACCAGTCTGTAATCTGCATTTTGCTTCATTAACCGTAATGAGCTGTCATCCAGGCTGTGTGCGCGCAGTTACGCAGATCAGCCCTGGTCTCGGGCGCTTGTCACGGTCACAGAGCTGGGCAAATGCAGACATTTAGAAAATCAGGCAAACACCTTTTCAGTTAAAGGTTTTATTGTTCTACTAATACAACTGAAATCCAGTGACAGCACGCCATGTCACTGGTGGCCTATTGGAAAACAGCCTGCGTCGCTCTTTAACAAGCTGGCAAGTGAACACTTTTACTTTCCATTAACGGCGTGTTAAAAGCGTATTTAGTCTCTGCAGAGCAAATGTACTTCACACCGTAACATTTAAGTCTGATGATCAGTTATTAACAGTACCCTGTTGTTGAAAAGAGCATCACTTTCTTTTGTTCTTTCACATTGGTTACTATTTGTTTTATAGCGATGTCCGATGGTGAGTCCATAAACAGAATGTTGCCAGTGAAACTAGTTTTGGCTTTCACTCAGCAGCTACCAGCTGTTATTTATTCAGGAAGCAATCATATTTGAGATGCACACAGAGAGAGGGAGAAAATATGGGTGGAGAAAACAGTCCTGTTGGGCTTTACGCACGACGCACAGCTTCCTCTGTATGTAGGTTTACCCTGCTTCAACAACGAGCTGCTAGTGTGTTACTGCCACAATAATTATCTGCATTGTAAAGATTGTTACATTGAAAAGAGACAAGTGAAAGTAGTGGCTAGGCAGCAAGCATAATGTTTTAAAGTGATCTTATCAATACATTCATGGAGATTTAAAAAGGAAAATAATTGTTGTAAACAGAAATAGCTAAATTACAGATAATCACCAAGCAAAGCAAATTGCATTCCCTAGAAATAACCTGTTGCACAGTAGATGAAATATATATATATATATATATATATTATATATATATATATATATATATATATATATATATATATATATATTATATATATATATATATATATAATATAATAATATAATATATATATAATATATAATATTATATATAATATAATATATATATATAATATATATAATATTATATAATATAATATATATATATATATATTATATATAATATATATAATATATATATATTATATATATATTATATATATATATATATAATATTATATATATATATATATATATTATATATATATAATATTATATATATTATATATTATATATAATATTATATTATATATTAATATATATATATTATATATATATCTATATATATATATATATATATATATATATATATATATAGTAGATGGAGTAATTGTATTTTTTCTTGAGTAAAAATTTTGAGTACTCTACCCGCCACTGGGCAGCGGCACCAGTACTAGCTCTGATATGGTGAACATGAGACAGGCAGCAATAGGGCAATAGATGAGGGCAATAGCAAAATAGAGTCAAAGCCAGCACAGTCCAACGCACCAGTTTATGGTAAGATTGATAATGATATGGATTATTTATTTATTTATTGTATTCAAGGGCTCAGCTGAGTTGATTTCTTTACTTTAGTAGAGTTAAAGAGCTGTTTCTAGTTTTAGTATTTTAAAGGCTCATTTAGTTATGGACTGTACTTGCATAAAATTCTCAAGAATGCAGGAATAAAGGTCTCTAAAGACCCAGAGCCCCAACAAATGCTTTGTCTGGAGAGTGGGCTGATCAGGGAAAAACTCCTGGGCCATTTGTTCGCCCCTGTCCGTGACCAACATTGGCCTTAAAAAACCTGTTCCGTGTCCCTAAACAGTTTAAAAGTAGCCAAAATTGTTACACAGAGATGAGCATCCTAAAGTAATTTAAGAGGAAGAGGACAGAAGTCACAGGAGTTGGAGTAGAAATAACTGAGGAGGACGAGCTTGTCAGTTGTATGGATAACTACTAGACATAGTATATTTTAAAACTCACGTAGTAAAAAGACTTTGTTATGCCAAGAGTTTACATTGAAGACAGTTCTGTGTTCACAAACATTTGTTGCAGGGAGAGTCAGGGCCAAGTGAGACAGGCAATATCACAGACAGCTCACATGTGTAACATTAGGATAACTAAATACATTTGTACTGTGGCTAGCTACATTAACGTGCAGGTTATACAGTTTAGCATGGTTTTTATGGTAGGTAGTCGGTTTTGTTCTTGTTATATTCTATAGTCTCTGACTTTGAACCCGAGTTTTCATAGCCTAATCTTCCCTCTCCAGTCTATTGTCCATCTTCTGTCACTGCAAATCACCTCTTTGAGCCACACCAATAAGTACATTCTGTTTTCAAAAGTCATTAGAAATGAGCATTAAAAAAAAATAAATAAAAGAAATCGGTGGGTCACGCCCCCGAACCCTCCTAGCCCTCCTAGCATCCCCCCGAGGTTCAAAGTCGCTCCTACACAGTTTCAATCCTAATTGAAATATATATGGAAGAAGTTCATTACAATTGAAATAAACTTGCTATCTGGGCAACAGTTCACACGATAAAGTGCTGTTCTCATTGGCTGGTTCCAGACCTTTGAATCCGAGTTGACAGTTCTGTCTGATATTAGGCAGCTGTCTCATGGTAAAGTGCAGATTTATTGACTTCCTCAAAACTTGATCAAACATCATATCAAAGGCCACAGCTGTTGTAAAACACACCTCCTTCCTGTTTACATAGACTGTGTCCCAATTCAAATACAACACCAACTGCATGCAGTATGTACTATTTATTCATTTCCATGTAGTATACAAGACATCAACGTATTTCATTATAATAACAGGAAATGATACTTGTGCTGACAAATGTCAGTCACTCATTTAATCTTCACAGACAGAAATATTTTTTTAGATTTAGTTGTTTAATTAGTTTTTCCTGTGAGCAGCTCTTCTATAATACCCTGCATTGTGGAACAATACTGTCCATCAACAGCACACCGCAAACAAGCACTTTTAATAAGCATGCTGACTTTGTTGAGAAGACTGGACTTGGTTGCTTTTCCAGAATGATATTGTAGTCTCAGACCTCGAGAATTTGCGACCTCCAACTAGAAAAAGTACAATGTAAAGCAACTTAAAATCAGAGCTCCTACTTGTGAACTCGGGGCAAATCCATCTACCCTGACTTCATGAAGAGGCAAGTATCTAACCTCCCACAACAATGGCACCTTGGAAGCGCATATTAACCCTAGTTAATAATATAATAACCCTAAACTAAAAGGCAACATAAAGTATATTTGCCTGCATTTAATTAATATAAAACATACTGTGATATAGTCAAACCTGTAAAATTGATATCAACATATGTCGCCAATGGTATTAGGTAGCTGGTTACAGTTAAGAATCTCTGTAAGTCCTCTTCTTCTTTGCACAAACGTAATTCAGGAAAACATTCGTCACAGTCAGCTACTTTACGTTTTCCGTTCACTTTTGGTGTCACGCACCTGGAATGTTTTGAGGTTGGAAGTCAGAAATTTCAACTTGGAAATTCTGACTTTTACCTGTGACTGGAACTTTTGCATTAACCTGCTTAATAATATGGGACTGGGATGCTGCTATAATACTCCCTCTAGTGGCCATAATTGAACTCCACACTCCTGTGAATGGATCACAGTGTTGTTGTTAAGTGATGTATGACTTGGCCGTCTCTACACAATGGAACATGGTTCATCTGAGGTTTTGTGCTGCTTTTAACCAGGAAACGGATCATTTAGCCAGTAACTGGATATGTGCCATATTGCTAAATATAATATATGCTGAATTACTTGTTAGTCTCTTGCTGTAAGTACATTGTATTAACAGCTAGCGTTAGACGTCTTCATTTGAGGTTTTGTCATTCCATATTAATAATTGTTTGTTGTTTTCACAGTATGTCTACTTCCGAATGGGTGTCAAACAGGCGGAGATGGTGAAGTCCAGATTGCTCCGTTTCACTCTGGACGAGGTGCGCCATCGACATTCTTTTCTGGAGCGCAGGGGCCTGTATCAAACCCCAGACAAGAAAGGACAGACGATCATCATCAACCCCAAACTGGACAGCATCCTGAACATTGACCAGGACACCTTCCTCACACATGTCGCAATGGCGTCAGCAGAGGAGTACGATGTATTTAAGAGACTGATGGCAAGAGAGTGGCAGGAACAGGAGCAGCGGCAAGGCGGCATCAAAGCCAATAGTGATGCTGAGGAGGAGGAGGAGGATGAAGAAGATGAGGAGACTGGAGGAAAAAGTGGATACACAAAGAGGAGAAAGAAATGACAGTTGGGGAGGGTCTAAGAGAACGTAAAGATTAAATTACATGATCAGAGAAAATCATATGCCTGATGGGGGCAAATGAACCAATAAAGCCTTTCCTTTAAACTGTTTTGTTTTTCTCAGATTTGTGATTAAATACTATAGAAAATTCTTATCTAAAACACACATGGAAATATAATGTGGTTCTTGTCATCTAGCTTGTTCACTTTTGAATGTACTGGCGATAGCAACTTATTGGACTGAGTGAACCCTCTGGCTTGGAGTGGATTTTCTGTGTTTAAGTGGCCACATCAGGACGTAAGATGCGATGACGCCACTGATGGATGAGGCCTTTATGTGAAAGATGTAGAACTGTCATGTGTGAACAGTTACTCCCATTACATTCTTTCTGCTGTCGGAAATGTTTTTTAATTTTTTAATCAACCCCATAAGTTTAGGCAGTTTCAGTGGCTTAGCTGCCTTAATGCACCGGAATGAACAGGGAAATGTGAATCTGATCAATTTAATCTAGATGGCTTTCAAATGAGTTCTTACAACCATAACATATTTAAAACAACTTGGGTTGAAAACACTGAAAAAGCAACCGCATAAGGAGCAGCTAAGAGGATGAAAGCTCCACCCCGTTACTATGTGGCGGCCAAGTGGTTGTGTCCTTCCCTATATTATGTATGAGTCAACAAAGAGTACATCAGATAAGGACACCAGGTGATACGAATCGTACAAAACATCCATTGATTTATAGAAGAGGTAATGGATGTGCAACACAGGGAGGTTTTTCTGTGCTGGACGTCAGGTAAGAAAACTCACCTTTGGTCAGTCGATAATTTGTCAATAGGTGTGTTAGCACAATGTTTCAACAAAAGCAAGTGCTTTTCTGTTTTTCGTCTGAGGAGTATTTTGAAGCATTTAGCCCAGTGGTGGCATAGTATTATGTTTGTATTATTGCCCTAAAAACTTTATTTTATTTACACTGATGCCCCATCTGAAATGTAGGCAAATTAACGTATATTAACATTCACAAAAGAGTGTTTCATCCAAACTGCAACTAAAGCAAGTTGTAGAGAGACAGTCTATTACTGTACTGTATTCTGTTCATATTCAAACGTTGGCTTCTCATTTTCAAAATGATCTGGATTAACAGTCTGTACTGTAAGAGGAGTATTACAAAAGTTAGTTATTGAGTAATGTCATTTTGATCAAGACTGAGTCAGCCAAAGCAGTGCGCGATCAATGTATATATTACAGGTTTGCCCAGCCTGCAGTATATCAAGATGGTGGATATTTGAACAGCAAACAACTTGACAGATGTTTAAGCACCATAGTTTGTTATTTAGAGGTACTGCTTCTTTTTTTTACACTCCTTCATGTGGAGAGCCTAGATCTAGAACTAGATTGTAATGCGTTTTAGCAATAGTATAAAATAATCTGGAGTCATTCTCTAGACTGCATATTTGGATGCATTTATGTTTGTATTTTGAAGGTGGTCCACTCTTGATTGTTGATATTAATTTATGATGTTTTCATATACAGGAAGCTGCTTGAGGAAGTAGACAACACACCATAAAACAAACCTCTGAGCATCCTCCTCCATAATTCGAAAGACAAAATGGCAGAGGCAGTACTCATTTCAAACCTCACACAGGAATGGGTGGAGAGTCTGCGGAGGTGGCATCTAGAATATTTTTTCATCCCTACCACGGTCATCACTTTGGCCTCCTTTCTAGCCAACCCTGTTCTCCTGGCATGCATCTTTCTGTCCCGTGCTTTGCGTCAGGAGACACGTTACCTGCTGGTGGCCAACACCCTAACGGCAGACATGCTCTTCCTCGTCCTCAACCTTGCCACAGTGATCTGTAATGCTGCACAAGCTCAAATGCCCTGGCTGGTTTGTGAGCTGCTCACTGCTGTCTCTGTCAGCGCCTACTGCTGTGCCATCCTCACGGTCACCCTCATGGTGGTAGACACATACGCTGCGGTTCGCTGGCCCCTCCATTACCATGACATTCTTCCACCTGCCCGCACCCACCGCATACTGGCGGGAGTGTGGGTGCTGTCTGCCGTATACCCTTTCACACTGTTGATAATGATGAAGGTGGGGAGGGAAAACCCCCATGAAAAGATGGCCGTGTGCCTGGTCCTCATCTCCCTCGGCTTCATCCAGGTCAACATGACAGGGATCCACATCTACTTCTTTGTAACTGCACTCATCTGTACTGTGCTCATTTTGTACTGCTATGTTCGGCTCTACATGGTAACAAGGACCCAGGGCATCTGGCAGAGCCGCTTCTCCAGGGCCCGGGTCACACTGCTTGTTCACGGGGTTCTGCTCCTGCTCTACTTTACCCCTGGCTTTGTTTTCATACTGGAGCTCGCTCTTTTCCAGAGGGAAGACATAAGTCAAGATGTTCGAGTTTGGATTAACACGATCAATATGTGTGTTTTCATGGTGCTACCTAGGGCATTTGCTCCATACCTGTATGGGCTGAGGTACCGGGAGCTCTCTGATACTCTAATGCAGCTGCTGCACCAGCACAGGAGACTCAGCCAGATCACAGTTTGATAAGGACACATATGAACTGTCCATTATTCATTCTCAACATCTCCAATTAATTACTTGTGACATACATACATATTTTACATGGTTTCTCAGTTGCCCTACAGTCAACAAAGAGGTCACTGCAAGGCAGTAGCCAGGGTTTTAGAAATACTGAGGTTATATGAGAGTCCAAATTTTTTTTTATTCTATATTAATTTAAAATATATTGTTTGTTAGTGTATAATGTCTAAATGCTCTTTAAAAACACACTCCACAATGCTAAGAATGTAATTCTGGTAGAGAAACAGTAAAATCCCTCTATTTGATCTTATTGTTTGGCCTACATGAGTCAAATTTAAGAATAGTGACACCATGTATAATTTGTATGTAAATATTGAACTATGGACTTGGCTGCAGTGTTGTCAATGGTTGCTTGTGACCTTTCCGTGTTTTATACATATGGTGTTTGCTTCACCTCAGACACCACTTCTTTGTCGTAATTATTCTAAAAAATAGGTGTCACATGTCAGCATCGCTGTAGTACTTGCAAAAAAGCAAGTACTACAGCGATGCGTTTGCACATAGGGGCAACTTGGCCAGCAACTTTTTCCCTGGAAGGGCTCCCATCAGGGCTCTTCTTCTGGGATCAAAAAACGTGGTCACCCCAGTCCTATCCTCTCTTCATCAGCTCCCTGCTCAGTTAAGAATTCAATCTAAGGCATTGCTGATTATCTTCAAGGGTCTTTATGTTCAGGCCCCAGCTTATATCTCAGATCTTATCCACTGGCTCGCTGCTCCTAGGTCTCTTAGATCTGTCAATAAATCTCTCTTGTATGTCTCACGGTCTGGACTAAAACTTAAAGGTCACAGAGTCTTTGCAGTTGCTGCTCCACGACTGTGGAACCAGCTGCCATTAGATATTTGATGTGCCCCTTTTTAGCCCACTAATCTTTGAATCAGTTGTCATGTCTACACCTCTGTATTTGTCATTTGCTGTTTATTGTTGTTATATTTAGCTTTGTTGGTCTTACTTTTTACTTTATATGTACAGCACTTTGATCAGTTTAGCCTGTGTTTGTACTTGACTTAACTTGTTATGTGTGTTTAAAGCTAAAATTTAAAGCTTATATGTCTTAGTTGTTGCTAACCGCATTTTGTAGATGCTTGCAAATGTGACTTTTGTTCTAGGCCTTAAGAGCTCTTTTAACCGCTCTGTGTATCCAAATGAGAATGAACTCCCTTGTTTTTCAAGTTTATGTCTCAATGTTGAGGCATCTTTAATCCCATAAATAAAAATAATTGTACAACCCAAATGTGTTTTTATCATCATTGTGTAATGTAAAGCCATGTAGAACCTGACACTTAGCCTCAGTTTTATGACCATAGTAACAAAGCACTTAACTCCGTTTGCCTTCAAAGCCGTGTTTATCTAAAACTGGATGTCAAAGAAGATCATTGACAAATGGCTTACTGACTTGGCAATCAAAGGCGCTGGAGGAAAGAAAAGAGCACCTTCCTTCATTCAAGAAGGTGTGACGAAGGATAGTGATGAGTCAGACATCCTGCCTGCAGGGACAATTTATTTTCTGCTGTATGCCATCCATAACTGTTACAACAACTCAACAGCAGAGGGACACATTTGTCTGTCCACTGGGCTGCCTCGCTGCTCTTTCCTGCAGCAAAAGTACAGGTGCATCTCAGAAAATTTGAATATTGTGGAGAAGTTATTTTTTTCCTGTAATTTCAAATAAAAAGTCTACATTCTAGATTCATTACACATAAAATTTTAAGCCTTTTTTGTTTTAATCTTACTTAAAACTAATGGAAATAAAAAATCATATCTCAAAAGATTAGAATATTGGAATAAAGAATGTATAATACAGAAATATCGACCTTCTGAAAAGTTTAAAAGTTCTGTTAGGGTTAATTTATGCCCTCAGTACCTGGTCGGGGGTCCTTTTGCACAAATTTCTGCATCATGGTGGCATGGCATAGAGGCAATTAGCTGTAGCCCTGCTGAGGTGTTATGGAAGCCCTGGATGCTTTGATAGTGGCCTTCAGCTCGTCTGTATTGTTGGGTCTGGTGTCTCTCATTTTCCTCTTGACAATACTTCATAGATTCTCTTTGGGTTTCAAGTCAGGTGAGTTGGCTGGCCAGTCTACAGTAAAACCATGGTCAGCTATTCAGTTACTAGTTGTTTTGGCATTGTGGGCAGGCTGGAAAAGAAAATCACCGTCTCCATAAAGCTTGTCAGCAGATGGAAGCATGAAGTGCTCTAAAATCTCCAGGTAGATGGCTGCATTGACTCTAGACTTGATGAAACAAATTGGACCAACACCAGCACCCCAAATCATCACTGACTGGAAACTTCACACTACAATTTGCATTCACATAAAAAGAGGACTTTGGACCACTGAGAATAAATGAAAGGTTTTTTAATTAAATTACGGTAAAAAATTAACTTTTTCATGATATTCTGTGTGTTTGCTTGTTATCATGTCAGACATGCTCTAAATGTCTGTTCCTGGTGCTCAGTACCAGACTTTTCACGGGTGGATCAGATCAAGACGATACAAAAACACATTTGTTATTGTTTGCCATTTTTTTTAATTTCCATGGCACTGTGATTGCACAGCTCTAATTATGTCTGATTCGTGACTGATTTATCTGTTTTCCAATGAAATGTTCACCCTTGGCAGCGATGTTCATCCTGCTAATTGACCTCATGGTGCTATCTGATTATTTTATTCTGGTGAACTCGGACAACTGGTGACTGGAGGCCAAAACACACTTCCTTGTGCAGGATTATTTGCACAAGGAATATATTCCTGAAGTTGGTCATTGAGTTGCTGATGTGTTGCCCAGTGTCTCAACATGTGGATTTACCAGTTTCTGTGTATTGTGTGTATTACTGATGGTGACAAAAGCCCCTGCTGTAGACTACCTGTATGATGTTTCAAAAATATTTTATTATCGAAAATATACATACTTACAAATCATATTTACACCAGCAAACACTGCAAAACATATTTGACAAAACCAAATACTTGACTAAAATAATAAAGTATAACTTAGCCCATAATCAGAATTATACACAATAAACTAAAGCAAAAAAAACATTGTACTAAAAGAACAACAATTAAATACAAGGAACAGAAATATAAAGAAAACTAAAAAAGGCACAAAAACAAAACTAAAGAAAACAAACCAGTCCAAAAATGAACTAACTAACCAGGGCTGGTGGCCAAAATAAAACAAACAAAACAGAGCATTTAACTGACTTACAACAAACAATAAAAATAAACTCTTTCTCTGACTAATAATTAGCAAAATGGAAATGAACCGTACTCCAAACTATTTCAGTCCTGGATGACTTCAGGGATGACACAGGGCACTGTGTGTGTCTCTGATTTTCTCTTTACTGTTGTTGCATCATGAATACTGTCTATAGTATAGTATTCATGATTTATATAAATATGATTACATATAGAGAGAGAATTCTCTCCAATACTACGCAGTATGCACACGGTTCAAAGCAGTGGATTGGGTCAGTGATAACATCAGGGAACTCTGCATGTGAGCTCTCAGAAATATTTTTGCAACAGACTGAGGAAGTTGTGACATCCTTTGTTCCAACCAACTCCTCCTTCCTCCTCACCTGAAAAAAAGGAGCATTGCATGCTGCGTTTCAGCCTGTTTTCACGTGTCTGTAGGATCACATTACAGCCATATTGTTTTGTATGGCCTGTATCTTTTTGGTTGCCAGTGTATGTCTTTATAGGCTACTAACTATGTAGATACACATTGGTAAGGCTGGTACTTTATACATTCGTAAAGTGTATTATTTAATGACGTTTGTCTGTACCATTTATTGGTAATAGGCTACTGTCTCTGTACGTTCAAGTAGGCCTAAAAAGACCATGAAACCTTGTTTTATACAGTCCGCATGAAACTGGTATTATTTTGCGTGTATTGCTCCACCGCTGTCACTGCTTGTTGTGAACTTTTGCCCCACAAAAAGTTGCGTTTGTTTGCAAACAAAGGACAGCCACGTGGAGAACTAGAGGCGCTTGGGAAGTGGTGTTTCTCGTAGAGCTCACAGTAAGCGACAAAACGTTCAAATGAACTCACGTACCCACGATGCAGCGGGAGCACCAGCTGAGTGGGCGCAGTGGGCTGGATGTATTTTTTTTTCGCCTGACAAGTATATATGGGTTTTGTGTTTACTGTTAGCTGGTTAGAGCGTTATGTTTTGATCGTCCCCTTAAAATCAAAATGTCCCGGCTAAATAACAGCCTGCTTTCTTTACCATAACTATACGAGGGTAGATTTGTTACAATTGTTGTAAAGACTTGTTCAGGATACAGATTTATTTTTCTCCATACGTTTTTTGTTTTGTTTATCTACTTTGGAGTGAAGAGGAAGCTTCATCTGGAAACTTCTGCATAAGGTAACAGCTTTTATCTTAAACAAATGAACGTTTATGATTTGTGAATGTATCATTTCTTGCTTTCCTTTTGAATTTGTCAAAATATAATGAGTAAGTAAAGGCAACGGCCCCGGCTCAGCCTCTTGTTTTTTTAAAGTATGTTGCCAGGGGCTATCGGTCGGCACGAGGCAAGTCTTCTTTGTCTAATACACGAAGCACGTGTTTTCTGGCACTTAAATACATTTTACTTAATTGTCTGTGATTAATACATAAATAATGAGCTATAATGCGACATATTAACATATATTTTTTTACATTTTTTTAATAGAATAAAACAAATGATGTATGCATTATTTTGTCATTTCGTTGTCCATTTCACTTGAACTTTATTTCACCTGGATAACAACAACAACAACAACAGCAAAAAAACATAATTAACACGTACAAATCTGTTTATTTCATTTAATGTTATTCGTTTTATTCCGTTATTCTGTTTTTATTCCTCCTCAGTGGATATTAGTCACGAAGTCAGATACCTCTGGTTAAACTTGTCCTATATAGTATTCATGAACTTCAGGGAGGTGTCGAGTAACGCACGTGAATAGGTTGAGTCCACTGAGGTTGAGCCAGAGTTTAAAAATAACTTGAGATAAATGACCTCACTGGAGCAAAGACCAGACCTGCAGCCAACCTTAAAGGAGAATGGCCATAGATAGGAGAATTAACGTTTTGATTAAATATCTTCAGCAACTTAACTTGAGGATCTGAAATATACCTAAATATATTTGTGGATAAAAACAAAGCATAATTCATGGGGCACCTTGGTTGTTTGCTTGTACTTTTTCTGAAAGAGACAGATGTCTACAGGTTTAACAAAACCACCACTCAAGGTTATCAGTAACCCTGACTTTGCACCTGTTGTTCAAACAATTATTATGGAGTGTCTAATAACATCCCTGCCCCTGCTCTCTTTCAAAACAAACCTAACTGACATGTGGGCTGGCCTTCCAACCGTTGCTCAGCCTTTTTCTCGCCTGTGTCTCTTTTGTCATCTTCCACACTCCTTGTGCTGCAGGGTTTTTGCAGCAGCATTGACCTAGAGGAACTGTCACGCAGATTTGTGTGCAGCTCAGATTTCATTACTCGAAACTCCTTTTCTTAAACCATGGTGTAAGACATTATGGCTCTACCTCACGGGCCTGTGGCACTCACGTGTTTTCTCCTACTTTTGTACACATGCTTTTGTGGCTTGTTTGCCTGTGGTAAATGTTCTCAATTTGTGCAACAGTGATCAAAATAGGTTGCTATTTATGAATGTATGTCCTTTTCCTGGCTGTCCCCTCCTACTACATCTATTAAAATGCCAGGATAATAGTGTATAGTGATATTTAACGGAAACATGTTTTCTTTTGTAATAGTATGGTACTGGTTGCTCTCCATCCGCAGGTCATCTTAAAGTTTAGAGAAGGTCTTCATTGAAGGTGGCAGCCATGGTTTTGATTCTGGGCAGAAGGATGAACAGGGAGGACTCTGGGATCAGAGACTCACCAGCTGTCAAACGCAAGGTGCTGTCAAACAAAGAGACTTTATCTATGTTTTCCATCTTGCTGCTTTTGTCTCAACTGATTAAAGTCATAGTTTTTATAACTCGTTGTGCATGTTGTTGTCTCCTAAGGTGTTTGAGGTTGACTCCAAAACTTTAGCCAGCCAGGAGGTCTTGGACTTCTCTTCTGGCTCGTCCCACTCAGAGGGCATCCTGCAGGTATTCAATGAGTTTCGCGACTGCCGCCTGTTCACTGATGTTGTCATCAGCGTGCAGGGCCGTGAGT